ACGCACACAAAGCCACTTGGCTGGTTCGACTCTAATAAACGGTCGTGTTCTCTGTCGCCTCCTTTTTCCTATCCTCGGGTGGCCACGGACTGTTAACTAGAGGGTTGTAAGGTAGTGCTAAATCCTTTAGTCACTACAGGTATCGGGCAAGACGTTGGCAGTATCGCTGTTAACATTTTCTTGAGTTGTTGTAAGCCTAATTTAGTTTAGAAACGTGAAACACTCCACGCCTCTGATAGTCCTGGCAGTCACACGATATGGAAGATTATTAAAAGTAATTTGTGGTGAAGGAGACCCAACAGAAAAAATAGGGATTATCAACCACCATTGTTATGCGTAAAAAAACCCTTGTTTCCACCACTTCCTCACGTTTAATTGGCTGGATTCTAGACCATGAAATAAAAGCTGTACTAACGACCTCAAGTAGTTTCAGTGACTGCGTTCATAATTTGTTACACGATATTCTTTTGCGAATGGCAAATCGATTGGTGAAGGCACTAATTGTCTTGTTTGAATTAGGATAAAAGGACGGCAAAATAAAATGGTGACAGAGGGATTCTACTGCCTTGGGTTTGGTTCATAGAAGCTGTACATAAGTGGTTTAAATAAACCTTCTTTTTGACATTTCACAAAGTCAAAACTACAGTACACTCGGGGAATTAGCATACGCAAACACCCTTCTAAGATCAAGAATGAGAAGGCCAGTATGAAAATCAAATACCAAGAGAGAATGGTTATTTCGAAAACATTTAGGGTGATCAAGCATCAATTCGAGGTCATAAAAGGGGACCTAAAGGAAAAATTTGAAAGTAGTATTCTGACGGAAGTGGTTTTGGCCAAACCGTAATTTTGCATACTGGCATGCGACACAGACACGGAAGTCGGAACTTTGTTGCATTCTGTTGGGGATCCACGATTCCCCAAGATTGGTTTCTGATTCTATTTACATTAATTTATTAACATTTGTTTTGTTACGCTTTTTATCAAGCCAAGGTCAACCCTGACTTGAATTCGTTTCGTTTTCACTTTCGATTTCACTACTTCTCTGCACGTGGCTGACGTGAATAAAGCTCTGTACTCGAGCTCTGGTCTTGTTCTGGTATTAGCCTGGGAAGGTCGGTTCTAGCTTTCAGCGAGGGATCTGGTACCGTTATTTGAGTGGTCTTCTCTATTGTTACGGGCAAACGTAAAACATTCATATCACAATCTTCGGGTTTTTGAAAAAAACCTTCTTTCACCAACAATCACAGTGTCGATTGATCGAAATATTTGGTGATCGACTGACGGTAGGCGTGACCACCTTTTTGCCGATATATTTTACAAAATGATCATTAAGTAAATTGGCTGTCGTCTCTAAACACGCATAAAATCAAAATAACCATGACATCTCAGAATTAAAAACCAGTATACTTGCGGCCACGGAAAAAACCATCGTAGAAGGAATGCATTCAACCACTGGCTTCCTAAAATGCGTTGTCCCGGGCCACACACAGCTGACGCAGGATGTTTGCTGTTTTGTGCATAAGTTTACAATCTAATTTTCCAATTTTCATTTCTGCAGTAACCTGCAACGATTCAATTCCCCGCATTCGACGAACGCCGTAGATCGTCGCTCGTTTAAGAGCGGTAAAACTGTTTCTGAGTACTTGCTAGAACTTTTCACGATGCTATTAAAATGGAGCATATCGGAAGTAATCCATAATATGCACACGCACACACCGGAAAGCTTTTTACAGACAAGTTTGATTGTACTTTCTTCTGCGACCACTTTTAGAGGCCAGGGTTGGGGTCAGCTTAGCGTTTCAGCCTTACTTGTTAGCCTGGAAGTTGGGTGACTCCGAGCATTATGAGAGATGGCAATAATGCACCGAAATTTTACAGAATGCACGCACGTGATGGTCGACAGAAGAGCAGCTGCTCTCGAGGCACACCCAGTTCCACACATAGGCTCTCCAGACTTTCGATGTGCTTCTGCAAAGGAAAGTGGAAAAGGACTCATCAGTAGGCAATTTGATGCCTTTTTTGGCTCTGATTTGTGTAAAAATAGGCTTTTAAAGCAGAAATATCCCACAGTTGGCAAAATTATAGGAACCATATCACATCCGAATTCTAGCAGTTGCTGCGTCAGTTTAGGTGGTTGTCAAATATTTAATAAAAAAGGAATTTACGCGGTCTTTGTAATAATAATAATAATTTATTGCGGACCCGTTTTCAAGTGAACTTATTTCAAACGGACCCTGCTCGTTCCAAATGAATGAAGCATAACAATGATACTCGTCGCGAGTAAAGGACATTATCTCATTCATCTGGATAGCCTGACATTAAAATTAATTTTGCAAAAAAATTGCTAATCGCCTATTCATTTAATTAAAATTAAATACTAAAAGAAGGGGAAAATATACAAGGATCAAGACAGGCAAGCCCCATTAAATGTTAATCTTTATTACGATGAAAAATAAGCGTGAACATCCTGTTTACTCTGCTTTATGTCTAAAACAAGAAGTACTATAGTCAACTTCAAGCACAAAATTGGCAAATTTTGGACTGCGAAGTAAAAATTGTTAACCCACCTCGAGGATTATCGTTCTTGCATTGAGAGCCTCAACCTTAAGCTCGGAGATCCTTCGAGCCCTCTTCTGCAGCTGAATGCGGAATTCGTTCCGTTGTTTCTCGTGCATTAAAAGGCCTAAGCAGGCGGAAAGACTGGTTGATCAGTGTCGACGAGAGCACAAAAATCACCTCTGTGTATAGTTTATTTAGCTACTTATCAATGAGATTTAAGTACTTTTATTGAGCATCGACAATCGTAGTTTTACTACAAATGAATGGTCATTTTACGAGATATTCACATAGCTGGAAGCTCAATCGAACTTGAATATGATTTAAAAAACTTAAATTTGTGTTCTGTCTTAAATGTGTGCCAGGCTGGCATTATTAAAATTGGTCATCCTCTTTTGTAAAAATACAAGGTATTATCACCTTTAAGACGAAACTCGCATACATCCAAGTAAACTTTTTGCATTGAAATAATGCCAAGTTGAGTTGGCCATACTCATGGATGCTTTACGTAGGTGTCATATCATGGAAATAGCAAAAGAACCAAACCTAACCCCGGCAATCGTCATATTTTCTTATGTTTTTTACTCATTTCTAAGCAAAGGTGATGAAAATTAGGTACCATATCTTTGGTCAGGTTGTCATAAATCGGTGGCACTATTTAGTAATACACAACATAACCCTGTAACTTAAACGCCAGGTGTTATGACATGAAATTCCGCAATTCTATACGAATGGAACTATTTTGGCTAGCAGGGTGTACATGCTTCAATTAATCAGTGACCCTCTCGTCCAGTTTGTTGCCCACGTTGGGATAACGCAGGTAACGGTGTAAACAGCCCCCTTAGACTCTACATGCGTCCGCAATCACTGCCTAAATATCACCGTAGTGTACCCTCCGAGACATGACGGTTCCCTTTAAGTTTAGTAAGACCAGTGCGCTCACAACCGACCAGGTCTTGTGGTGTAATAAAACGAAGAATTCCGTCGTTATATTATTTGGCACCCAGTGTTGTTGCGTGCTGCAACAGCATATTTATCTATCATTTATCTGCTCATTTCTTTGTTTGGTGGTGACTGGTTTGAAGAGGCTGTCTGCTATTGCCTTAACTGCCCTCCATTGTCCGAAAGCTAAATCAATCATTTTATTCGTGTTCGTTAGCGACAGAACCGGGAAACGCGAAAACAACTCAACGTACTGTTAACTACGCGAACTATTCGCCAAATGAGGAAGACAATGATGAGAGTGATTTCGTCTGAGGCAATATATACAAAGATTGCGTCGGCGATGAGCGACACGATGATGATTATACCGTCGACAATCTAAAAAAACAAAAGACAATACCAAAATGTGTGTACTCATTATAGTAACCAATTTCATTTCCACGTATCCAAGATCACGATTTTGCATTTGCAATGTGGGAATTGTTGTAAATCCAAAATTTACCACATTTTGCCATCTGTTGGAAAATAAATTTACTAATCAAGAAAACAATTAAAAAAACCCTAATCATTTTTCGTGATTTTTCTATCTTAACACTAATAGCCACTGTCAGTAACTACCCTGGGTCATTCCGCAATTAAATGTTGATCTTTTGATTAATATTTTGGTGTTTCCGAGAGAAATTATTTCATTCTAATTGAAGCTGTCTCTTTAACTAACCTAAAATCAACTATTGGTGAGGTGTAAAAGTGTATAGCGAGATTGCAGCAAGATTGTGCTAACAGAGTATCGTGTACCATCTTTAGTTTAAAAAAAATTGAGCGCTAAAAAAGAAACATTGGCATTACATTTTTGCAAAAAAGCAGCACCAGTGTAGGTCAAGTTCTTTAGTGAGTTCGAGTGTTTTTACAGCCCTACAAGAGCAGTGAATCCAAACCCAGGAATAGGCACATTTTTGAGAGGTAATATGTTTATAAAGAGACTTGTCAGGCCAAAATAAATGCTGAAACAGCAGGTAAACGTATAAATACAACAAATCAAATGTCTTTTTACCTCTAACAATTTTAGTTTGCTTAAAAAACGAAGTTATTTTTGGAGAATCACTTAGAATCTTGGCGTAAATCGAACCCCTTCAAATCGTTCCAGTCAAACCCTAAAAAAGCCAAAATTGACTCACATTGTTTGGCCAAAGTTTACGCGACACTTGCCCTGGTTATACCCAACATCGGTGCCAGAAAAAACATGCGATGAGTTAATTTGCTTAAGTGAAATAAAACGGGGTTAAACGAATCACGTGAACTTGGGCTTCTTATTTCTCTTTTTGTGGGAAGGAAAACTGCAGGGAAAAGGTGGAATCGTGTTTAAAAAGGCAAGTCAGACAACAAATTGCTTATCTTTTAAAGCCAATAAATTAGTTAAGGCCTCAACATGAATGGACTCTTAGTGGAAAAAGGAAAATTTGCAGAAATTAAACTGCAAATTATGATTTAATTGAGCCTGTGGCAGGTGAAATAGTCCCCTCTTGCCTGTAAAGTCAGCACTTAATTTAAATAGATAAATTTCAGTCTAAAAACGTTGATCTGCAGACTTCTTCAGAGATTAGCGAACAGAAACGTTGTAGAATGTAACGGAAGCAGTTGGCCAAAATTCAAGTTATCAAATATGTCCTACGGTAAGAAAAAAGGTTCCAGTTAAACAATTTTATGCCCCATTCCATGATATGCACACTTTTTCGCAAAGACTGCTTCATAAATCTGGTTACTTTACTTCTCGTCTACCTATTAAAAGGTTTAGTATTTTTCTCAGGTCTACAGACGTTCTTTAGTAGTGAGAATGGATTTAAACTAAGTGACAAGACAACATTGCGTGCGTGTGAGGTGCTGTGGAAACCGTGAGGATTGGCGGCATGTGGACACCACATTAATCAGCTTTGCACAGTAGGATTGCAGCAATACACAATTGACCAACCCAATAGTTTCTCAGTCAACTGCAAAAAAGTGGGCTATATCGACAAGTTTTACACCATTAGAAACCCAAATGCAGAATAATAGATCGAATGTGGACTTAGAATTGGTGTGATGCCTTTATAAATGGCATGCTGATGGTGTGTTTACTGGTGGAATGTGACAATGAGAACAAGCAGGACTTTGGGACAGTGTCCGCCACTTCGCGTCCCAAGTACTTTACTCCAACATTGCATTTATTTGAGTTTAAACCTTAACGAAATAAGCATGGCTTCTGTCTACTACGCTGAGCTAAGGATAGCAGAATCGGAGATGAATTTAGCACTGATCAAGTGGCATTGTCGGGGGTATTCATTGGACAGTTCAAATGGGGATGACAATAGCAGCAATGAACTGATTTTCCAATGACAATAATTTTGGTAATGGCATTAAAAAGTAGAGGCAGAGGTCTGGTTTGACATTGTCGAAGCATGTGACTTGAAACATGGCGATCAGGCATTTTTTAAAAATCCCAGTCGTTCAATCTTTTTCTGTAAAATAAGAGCCACATGGCTACAAAGATTGTGCTAGTAACAATTAGAGTGACAGGAGTTCCAACCATTGAAATGTGCAAGCAGGAAAATCCGGCTTGATGGATCCTCACTTCCTCATTGCTGTTTCGAATCATTTTCTCACAATGTATCACTTTTAGTTAGCAATGGGATAGCCTTAAAGTGATCACGGCCCGTCCATTTCGGTGTAAAGGCGAAGACGTGACCTCTAGAAGAGGGCTTTTAACCGTCAAGGTTATTTATGAATGCATAAATTGTGACGATGAATTATGAATTATGCACAAAGAATGCTACCTTTTCAAACCACAGTCCATTATTTCGTCCTTTCAACCATTCTGTGATGTGCGGACGCACAAGCTGGTCGTGTTAACTAGTCAAAACCAATTTTTCAGTTTACCTGGTTGGCGAAGTATGTATTTAATTTAAAAATGCAAGTTACTTCACTTCTAAGTGCCTGAGAGACGACGTCGCTTAATTGGAGAGTATTAACTTGACGCACGTGCAGAAAAAAAATGTGGTTAAAAATTTTTCCTGCAACTCGGCAACTGTTTTACTTTAACAGTGTTATACTTTGCCCAGAGTTGTGAGGATTCAAGAATAGGACAATTAAAATCGAAAAATCGAGAAGAACTTAGAAGTCTGAGGATAATCGATAATTCATGACAAAATATTCTGGTTCCTAGGTGGCGAAGAATTAAACTTGGACTCAAAGTAAATCAACTAACACCCGGTGATTGTTGTTGCCTGGTGTGCCTGACTTTTCAGCGAAAGCCTGAAGACAAATCTAATTACATCCTTGACTCTTAAAACCAAATTTAAGAGAATGTTTCCAGATTCAAGACAAGTAACAGTTCGAACTCGTGATGAACAACCAGGCATTGTTTTGGTGGTCCAAGGATTATCCTCATGATCAGTTGCTTTGTAATTGGTGTTACAGACACACGAATCAAACTCAGGTGCGAAATATAGCGTGGTTTAATGCATTATTAGTAGTAGTAGCCATATTGATCTGGGAGATCTACAACATCGACAGCTACAGATTGCAGGAGGACAAAATGCACAAGTCATTTTGACGGATTACTGCAAGCACGATTTGCCTTGCATTGAAATGACTGCGGTTTGCTTGGCTTTATAAAGTTTTTCTGGGGTTTGAACTAATAACTGATGGCCCTTGCCTTCATATGATCTGTGTGAGAAAGCTACCAAAGGGAGCAGTGGCTTTGGTGAGGATTGTGTAAAGAAGTTGGAGTAAAAAGGAGCAGAGGCGCGGCTCTCGCTTTAAGATTAGTGGAAAAGATTTGGTAGATATGAAATGCCTGGGCTTGGTGAGTCCTTTAAATTGCTAGTATGAATGCCATGGAACCAGTTTGCAAGTTTGACTTCAGTTTAAAGCCGAATGCGCAGATGAGCAGGAATAAGTTTTTTATATAATTTAATATAGATGTTAGACAGGTGTTACCTCGAATTTCAGCTTGAAGAAGGCTCGTCCCATGCAGACTACTTTCAGAACCAGCTGAATAACAAAGATGCAGAGAATGGAGATGCTAAGGAAGTGGAGGATGCAGGCGATTGTGTGGAAGAAATGGCAGCTCCCAAACTGGCCCACAGCAGCCCTGGGGTCGTGGACCAGCCGACCCAGCTGTGTGAGGCAACAGGTGAGGTGAGAACAGTGCCTTAGACTGTGGTCTGCGGGCGCAGTCACGCTGTGGTAGACAGTGAAGAGGTCGTTGTGGTGACGTCCGCAGTTAGTGCCAGATTCGGCGTGACAGCACAAGGCGAACGGCGAGGTGATCGCCTCGAAGGCCACCGTGGAGTGGTTGGTGGGTTTTTGGCAGCAGGCGTCACGTGTGGCTGGCGTAAAAATGGACTCGGGATCCACGTGACTGGTGCAGTAGTAGCGGAAGATCCTGTTATTGAGGTGTCGTATTTCTACTTCCAGCGTCTCCTTTTCCGCTAAACATAACAACGCACGACATCCAACTGTACTAAGCAGCGAACTACTG